TTAGCAGCACAAAGCAGCCTAAACCCAGTTGTGCTACCTGGCAGACAACTTTACTGTAATCCCCCCTAGCTCAGTGCTACATATGCTTCTTTATCTAATTACATCATATATTGAGGTTACAATTATCCTTATATCTTGTACAAGAAATGCTGTTTGGCTTTACACAGATTAAGTGCTACTACCCTGAAGAACAGCAACAAACCTATTAATGAGAGTAGTTTATTGGCAGCTTTGTAGCATCTCCTTGTCTCTTTCAAGCATTTTACAGCGATTCGACATTTGTCCGCTCCCTAAGCTCAGAATTCCCTAAGCTCAAAGGCTGGATTGTGTTAAAAGCACATATTACCACTATAGAAAGCTTTGTGCTTTTTTTCTGAGTCAATGTAACAATCTACATTGGTTCAAAGATGAATTTTGAGTAGATAATTAATTGTAACACTTTTCTGAAGAGATCTATTATTAATACTTCTTTTAGAACGCTACGATATGCCTTGTCTAGGTATATATTTAAATAACTTCAAGAACTGGATTCCAAATCCTAGATAGTAACTGTAGATTATGTCCTAGATGCAATGACATATTTTTTTTTTCTTCTGCTCTATATTTAGATGTCTTTTTAATTGTCCTCTTCTCCTGGAAAAAAGGGAGATGGTCTTAACTCCCACCAGTGGCTGCTCAGCTGCCACAGTCAGTGTTGAGGTCAGGTCTACCACCTGATTTCCACAAAACCAGCACGTAGCTCAGCTGAGTGGCAGATGGACAAGGGTGTAGAAGAATCCTGTATGCACGTGATGTGAGACAGATGGCCTGAGGAGTGTGATTCCGTGGGGTGTAGGTAGATTCCTCCAGGAGATGCTGTGGTAAGAGGTAAAACTGCATTACTGATATATTAAACTTTATTATTTTGGAGAACTGAAGAAGCTGGGAGGGGGTGGGGCGGAGAAGGAGGTGTAGAATCCTGTGGCTACATCATATTAATCTGTGCAAGCTGGGGAGTTGGCCCACTGATTCACATGATTGCTTTCGGCACAAAAAAAAAAAATTCTGCTCCTTGTAGCTCTGTGAGAAATAGAAATCTTCTACTCTCTTGTCTAAAGCCATATCACACTGTAGATGGTAGCAATTATATGTTGAACACTTTGGAAGTCCCATTATCACAGCTAAGTTACGACATCAACACTAAAGAAATGGGGAACAGTAAAACCTAGCAATATCATTTTCCACGAATGAGCAGATTATAGACAATGATTTTACCAATCCGGAATAAATTTATCTCTAGAATGCAAAGATTTTTTACACACTGAGTGGTGTTCTGTACTCAGGTAACTGTTCAACATAATGTGCAACCATTGTAGAAAAGTGAATATAGCCCAGTTACTGTCAGTTTTATTCTTTTTTTTTGTAACCAGTGGAACCAGTCATGAGACAAACAGAGTTCTGACTTTCTCCAGGAATATTTTCTATTTGCTTTTGCAGTTAAAATGTTGGTGGGAAGGGCTTTAAAATTTCCATTGTTGACTGCTATTCTCTCTCTTCTCCATCCTCCCTCAAGCATGTCTTCTGCTTTTATTTGCTTACTCTCCCTGGATTTAAGAGTTACTACTGAGAGCAAAGGGGAATCTGCATCCATAAACAGCAGAGCCTATGTTCTGAAGTGTGGTCAAAAAAACCACACGATTGCTTTTTATGTTATATTCTCTTCCCTTTATACCATTCCTTCCTATTTCATTAAATTAAATGCCAATTATCTTCTTTCAAGCAGTCTAGCTTTTTAGAACAGGAGGGAAATTACCAGGTACTAATCACTAGGCTCCTTTGTCATTAGCTGCTGAATAGAAATGAGCATCCTTCCACCTGCTCTTGACCCCTGTTTCAAAACAAAGCCCATTTGTCCTGAGAACTGAAGAAGATATTTGCTACTGAAAGGGAGACAGAGAAAATGAGAGGCTCAAACAGACAACACAAGGCAGGAAAGGCACCCTCTCGGTGCCATTGTATTTTCTCCTTGTGAAAATAGAAATGTTCCTTTCTAGCTTACGAATTTTTATAACATCCAAAGAAGAACATAAACGAAGTTCACTTTCACCAGTGATTTGTATTGAAAGCCTTAAGAAAATGCCATCACCATCAAACAAAGCACAAATCCAGACCCTGGAGAGCAGCCGTAGGAAATTAAACAGACAGCATGCATAATACAGCAACACAAAACTAACACACACAAAAAGATAACTTCTCAGAGATTCACAGCCTTTAGTCTGTGTGCAAAGCTTGCCGAAGCATGAACTGCAGTCTGCCACGTCTATATGGATTCTTATACTATATGCTGTTTGAGCAGTTTCTAATAACGGGTGAGTGATCAGACTACCATCTGTCATGTTTTTTTTTTTCTGTCATTTCTTTTCCATAGGACAATACATGGTGTAATTTTTTATGTTTTTTTTTTTCTTTTTTTTTTTTTGTGTGTGTGTGTGTGTGTTTGTGTGTGCTGCCATATACATGTTCCTTGCACTTTTGGAGAGAAGGGAGACCTCAGTTCCCTGTGAAGCCTGTTCCACTGGTCTGAGACGTGAAGCAGTTTCTGCTAGAGCTGGCACATCTGCCTTGTTTTTTTCATTTTGAAGGTGAATGGGAAAATTTATTCTCCAAATAAATTCGGAGATTCATTAGCTTCAAGATGCAGAAGTAGAGTCTATATCCAAAGTTCAGAGAGTTCAGAGCTCTGTCAGAAGTTCAGAGCTCTCCCATGCACAAAGGGATCTACAGGAGGCTTACGAGTCTGAACAGTAAAAACACCAGTTGTTGTCAGGGGAGATCCATCATGCTTAAATAGACTTCTCAGATATATAGTGATGGAGGACATCACAGTGATCATTGCTCACTTCTTATCGAAAATCGTAGATCCTTGGATATTAATAAAGATGCTTCCTGATTACTATCTTTGCTACTATATTTGATGGCAATAATGGGTCCTTATAGGTAGGCCTATAGGCTTTATCAGCATGGCCTCCATCAGGTACATACATGAATACGGGGTAGTCAAGCGGCCAAGCAAGTGGTCTAGCTTGTGTCCAAGGCTTTCTGGAAGAAGACATACTGCATTTCAGCAGGACTGATCTTCAGCCTCATGGGTATCCTGTAGCCTTTTGCATCCATCTCTGCTCTATTCAAATCTGTAATGACCTCCACACACTCTAGCCCCTCTCCAGGTCGTCCAAACTCAGAAGAAGACTAGTGATGCACAATGGGCTACGTAAAGTCTATACACCACAGGCCAGAGACTGAAGACAAGAGGAATTGTTCTGGCTAGCAGACTTCTATTTTAATTCCCATCTCCCATTACTGGAGTACCCAGACTTCATCAAGCAGAGGAGGCAGAGGAGCAGATGCTGTTGGTGGGACTTCTTCACCTTCACAGATTCAGGGGATCATCAGTGGGTGCAAAGCACTTGCACCAGAAGCCCCAGCCTGAGATCCCTCGTGGAGGAACCTACGCTGCCCTAGACTGATGGCGCTTTCACATCAGCAACCACCAACAGAGCTAATATACTCAGCTCGAGGTTTCCCTCAAATTTCCATCGTCTCCACTATTCTGAGGAAATCATTTCTCCAATTCTTTTTTTTTTTGGTCTGGGCTAGGGAAATAACACGGCACTTCCTCTGCTCCTTGACAGTTTCTAAGTGTGAAAGTGCTTTAAAGCCACAAAGAAATACTTGTGGTGTGAGTACACGTTCCAAAAGTTGTCCTTACGTTCCTCCCAAACGGGATTTTTCCTGTGCCCTTCCTGTGACTATCCGTGGAAAGCAAATGAACAGCGTCACAAACGGAACGTGCGGATTTTTCGCCTCATGGCTATAACGCAGCGCGTCCTCTCCCCCGAAACGCACTGAGACCCGCAGGGGTTTCCCCACAAAACCGCGCCGCCCGGCGGCAGGCGCACGCATGCGCACCCCGCCACCGCCGC